ACGTCCTTTTCTCGAATACGCTTCTGAAGTCATTACTGCTGTATATAAATGTCAACTCTGAATAACTTGAAAGCAGCCAGTTACTGGTGTACCTTCGCACCTCGAACTAGACTATATATAAAACCGGCTGGGAGACAATATATCAAACATATATGCAAAACGAAAAAAACATATACATTATATAAACTTGTTAACAACTCGCAGCATTAGCCACCATATAAACAGAAATAGAAATATTATTATCATACCACATGCTCACGCATCTATTCACCAACACTTTTTTTATACTGACACACTAGATTATGGAATAAACTTTCTCAGGAATGTAGACTTTCTTCTTAACTTTCATATTTGATTTAGTGTTAAACAGAAATACATTTCCCTACTTGTTACTTTTTATCTGGGGATAGAAGAGCAAATATACTTCATGCTCGGCTAAGACATTCCTGTAGTTCACTTAACGATGAAAAGCCAATTTGTCAGAAAAGTTTACATGCCTGTGTGAAAATCCCTGTGAAAATATCTAACACTGTTTTCTTCATTGTCCTAATTATAATCCCAGTATTAAGATCTGGGTAGAGTATAGGTCTTCAGCAACCCATGCTTGTAACAGGCCGCTATGGTAGTAAGGCGAATAATGGGATTGGATGGTTAGGCTCGCTGACTTGGTTGATGCATGTCATCATATCCCAATTGCGTAGATCGATGTTCATGATGTCAATCACTGGATTGTCTGGTCCAGGCTCGATATTTTACAGACCGCCGTCTTATAGCTTTACAACTATACTGAGTCAAATTAAAAACTTCACATTTTAAAAAGTAATCCCATATATGATATACAACGGACAAATGTATCAGAGAAGGTAATTTTTAATCATTAATGTCCAAAGAAGGATTTTAATTAACGGTGGTAACCATAATTTGTTCCAAGCACCTACGATATTCGGTAATAACATCAACAGTTTAAATCATAAGTCCCAAGCGCGAAAATCTGATGGCACACAAGTTCAGTAGCGTGTATGGTCACCATGTGCGTTGACAACTGCCACACAACGCCTCCCCATGGACCTTGTGATGCTTGTGAACACATGATTGGGAAGACGACGCCATTGTTGCTGCAAAATGGTGCAAAGATCTTGCAAATTCTGTGGTTGGTTCTGGAGAGTGCGCAGACTTCTGCCAAGAGCATCACAGACGTGTTCGATGGGATTGAGGTCGGGAGACCTTGAGAGCCAGTCCATGACGTTGACTCCCGCATTCTAAAGGAAATTCCTTGTCAAAATTGCTGTGTGGGGTCTGGCATTGTCGTGTTGGAAGATCAAACCGGGTCCATGTGCTGCCATAAAAGGCAGAAGTTCTGGTGCCATTACCTGGTCGCGGTAAGCAGCAGCGTTGAGGTTGCCACGGATGACAAGAAGCCTGGAACGTGCATTGCCACAGAAAGCACCCCACACCATGACACCATGACACCGCCTCGAAATCTGTCAACTTCCTGTACACAACACTGGGCGTAACGTTCATGACGGCGCCTCCACACCCTCGCCCTACCATCAGCAAATCGAAGATTAAATCGGGATTCATCACTGAAGACGACTTGATTCCAATTCCTCTGAGTCCATCGTACGTGTCGCTGTGCCCACAATTGACGTTGACGTCTGTGTAATTGAGTCAGAATCGGCCCGCAGTATGGCCGTCGTGCTTGAAGGTGAGCAGTTCTCAGACGGTTTCGAACAGTTTGCGCACTCAGTCTACCCCTAAACAGTTCATTACTGGTTGATGTAGCCGTCAAAAATTGATTACGGAGGTAACGTAAGACAATCTGACGATCCACTGCATGTGACGTCACACGTGGTCGACCTGGCCGAGGGCGATCAGCGGTGGTACCCGTTTGCTGTAGACGCGTCTGTAAATCATAAACAGTCCGTCGACTACAACCCATCGTCCTTGCGACTTCAGCTACCGACGTTCCCGTCTGCAACATGCGGATGGCACGTTGACGCTGCACATTTGAAAGGCGTGGCATGACAATTGCTCGTAAAGACTTTTGTTTTCTTGTGTTTTTCTTTTTTTTGTTAATGACTGCTAACAAGTATGGCTGAAAACACGTGCGGTATTATGGCCACGTGACCAGTTGCACGTGAAAAAAAACTTTTGCCACTATAGTGCTGTGCACATGATTTTGATCTATTCACCTGCACAAAAACGGGTGTTATCTGAAGACAATACGTGGCCATTACTGTTTAAATACACAATAAGGGCCCACAATGATAACTGGTCAAAATGTCAAAATTTTAGGATTGTGAAGTTTTTAATTTGGTTCAGTATATTTTAATATTTTAATTATATCAAGGCGTGACAGCTGAATGCGGCGGGTGTGTGTGTGTGTGTGTGTGTGTGTGTGTGTGTGTGTGTGTGTGTGTGTTGACTAAATACAGTTAATTGGAACCAATGATTATAGGATCCTGACACAGCAAAGGGACGCTACTCCTTACGGCGATTACGACGCTCAGAACTAGGAGACACGTGCCGCAATATAAGAAGCAAGGTTATGGGTTCATGGCTGTAGATGACAAACGTTTGGCACTTCAATGTTTACATATTGCATGGCGGTCTGGACAAGCTGTGACGACCTCCACACGGAGTCTGGACTATAGCTGTGGCGACCTCTACACGGAGTCTGGACTAGCTGTGGCTACCTCTACACGGAGTCTGGACTAGCTGTGGCGACCTCTACACGGAGTCTGGACTAGCTGTGGCGACCGATCCTTGTTAGTCAAGTGAGGTTGAGGCGCAAGATAACACCTTGTAGTACATTGTCTTGATAACAGTTTACAATATTCTGTCGTCGCGAATGAAGGTAAACAATTCACGGTTATCTGTTCCCGTTTATTCCTATCCACATGCCTCAGTCACGATTCCTGACAGGGAGCGTGTCGTTGGCCTCGCGGACACCAAGTGGACCAAGCGCCCGTAAAATATCTATTTTGTGTATAGTTCTGAAAATAAATGTGCTCGACAAAAAACTCGTTGGTATCGCAGATAAAAGTGAGTGAGTTTTGTTTAAGACAGCTTTAAACAGTATTGCAGTTATATCACGGCGGGTGGGCTTTATGTGGGAATAAATCTCGAAGTGATGCAGGTCTCAAACGTTTACCACTTTAATGAAACCCACTAGCACGGGTATGTTAGCGGTAGCGAGAACTAAGATCGGATTTTAATGAGATTGGGTGCCGACAAAGCTAGGATCATAATCGTGCTAACTGGGATTCCAAGCTTTGGAGAAGAATGAACAAATGCACTGTGCTATAATTTTGGAATTAATATATTTTATTAACGTTATAAGTGTTGAAAATAATATCAGACACTGACTGTAGAAAAATAAAAAAGGAGACACTGGATCAGTAGCTTTGGATGTTGATGAATCTTTGCAACTTCACAGATAAACTTATTTGAAATTTAGATTAAGATGCTATAAAAGGTCATACACAGTTTCAACATCAAATCGGAATAAAGCCTTTTTCTTGACTTGCACTCTGTGTTGGGTGGAGATTTGATCAGTGTGTGTTGTGTTGTGAGCAATATTCCAGGTACATATATATGACTCCAACCTGTAAATAATCAAGTCTGATGTGGGAGGAAAGCCCAAAGTGATTCAGGTCTCAGACATTTACACCACTTCGGTGAAACCAACGAGCATGGCTGTGTGTGACCTGGAAGATTGTGTGTTATTGTATCCAGATAGCATGGGTTGGTCATGCTATCAACCACTTGTTTGTATCATGTAGACTCCAGCTTACTCCAGCTGTCAGGTGTACTGACAATAAATAACTGCGGGTTGAAATACAGGCTACATTCTTCATATTCCTTTGAAAAAAGGCACAAAAGAATCTAGAGCACAATTGTTTTAATTCCACTGAGCAAAGCATTTCACATCTGAAGAAAATAATTCTGTCCATACACCTTGTTCAGGAGTCAAAGGAATTGGATATACACAAATGTTAGGCTGTCCGTATCTTTTTCTGTGTTTCCAATCTCCCGCCGAAATTGAATATTCATTCCTACGTTAAATAAATAAAAGATTTCTATTTCAATTGTCCTGCAGCTGTGAAAATTATGCCAAGTTGTGATAGTTGGTTGGTTGGTTGGTTTGTTGTTTAACACCGCACTCAGCAATATTCCAGCTATATGATGGCGGTCTGTAAATAATCGAATCTGGACCAGACAATCCAGTGATAAAGATCATGAGCATCGATCAACGCGATTGGGATCAATGACATGCATCAACGAGTGTGACCACCCGATCCCATTAGTCGCCTCTTACAATAAACATACATGTAGTTGCCTTTTACGGCAAGCATGGGTTGCTGAAGACCTATTCTACCCGTATTCCCGCCATAGCACACACATAAAATCCCTGGTCACCTTGATGTATTTTCAGCTACATTTATTAACTATTAATTTCCGAAGTTATGCAATTCACTCTACCTCATAAATTGATTTTAAGACTATAACTAAGTGTTCTAAACTTGAAATTTCAAGTTACACAATAAGTGAAAAACATTTTTTAAATTTTTATATATGTTTTCTCTTGCTGGTTGAGGTTGGAGATGAGAAACACATAAAATATATGGATGGCCTTTGATTTATTCAAACCTTTTATCCTTTTTCTTTGCATTCGTGACAAAAATGGTTTCATGCTGTTTTAGCTTTCCAGCAATATCATGTTGGCAGGGAACACCAGAAATGGGCTTCACACATTGTACCCATGTGCAATGATGTGGGGAACATTGAACCCAGTCTTTGGCATGACAAGTGAGTAAGTGAGTGAGTTGGGTTTAACGCCGCTTTTAACAGTATTCCAGTTATATAGCGGCATGTCAGCTTAATGTGGGAGGAAAGCCCGAAGTGATGCAGGTCTCAGACATTTACCACTTCAGTGAAACCCACGAGCACGGGTATGGTGCTGACAAACCTAGAAACATAATCGGGGCGAACTGGGATTCGAACCCACAATCATAGGTTTCTGGCATGCCCAAGGGATGCAACTCTGCACAGCGAATCGCGGCGCCTTAGACAACCATGCCCACTGGCATGACAAGCAAATGCTATAACCAATAACCCGTCCAAACACCTCCATTTGCTGTGTAAAGACCATCTTCAATCCACAGGCTCACATCGTTCATCACAATACATATGACAAAAGCCATACCAAATTACTCTGTGATCTGAACAATTTAAGTCCAAAATCCTAAATTCAAGTATATAACAATCATGAATCACATTTATCAGACATGAACCCTTGTGACTTGAGACACTGCACTGACACTATCACATTTTCCACAGCGTATCATTTGTTTGGAAGAGCCTGGTTTCACTAAACATGGCCGACATATCATGTGAGAACACAGTAGTTTATATACAGATTTAGATTTTTCTAAACCACAATGGCAGCTGACACATGTATCTCTTAACTCTGTAGTTTTAGTTGCAATACTCTGTCTTTTTGTGAATGATGGCAAACCATTGAGAAGTGACATGGCTTGGCTCAAACTGGTATTTAGTTGTGATTCATGAGAGGTTGGATTTGGATGAAGAGAATGGGAGTTACCTCCCCTTGATTGTGACTGCATGGGCTGTGAACCGTTTTGACAGTTTTCTGACATTCCTTTCACTGATACTGCAGTTGATCTCAAAAGAGTGGAATCAGTTTTTAATTTTTTGGCATGTGTTTCACATTCATGTTCTGGAAATTCCATATTCCGTTTTAAGTTTGAATTAGAACTGCAATGCTCTGAATCTGACATTGATGGAAATAACGATGTCTGGCTTGGCTTATTTACAATCACTCCATCTTTTCTCCCAAGTGTTCTTGGCACCGATCTCAATTTCTCATTGTCGGAATTCTGCAACACAAAGGCATCAATTCTTGATTTCAGAGAATTATTTGGTATAGGATTGGATTCAGCAGAAAATGCAACTCCTGTGAATGGATCATTAGGTCGTCGACCCCATGATGCTTCAGTATCAATATATTTCTCAAGAGTTGATTGGTCCAGACTCTTTCCGCATGGCAACAGCATTGGTAATGCCATTATCTCACACATTATTGGGTCCAAGAATTCTTCCGGTATTTCAAAACCAGAATCGGTTTCTAAGCTTGTATCAGATTTTGCCTCAGACGAATCTATTTTGTCAGGAATTTTTGGCAGGGGGTTAATGCTCTCTGAGTATATTTTGTAGACTTTTTCAAGTATTTCTCTCCCATTTGAGACAGCAGGTTGGCCAAGGATTTGAACAGATTTTACAGCAGGGATACATGAACCACTGGTGCGAGATATTCTGATCGTCAGTTGACTGACAGCTGTCAGGTTCTGATTTCGCTGATTTCTCAACTCGGACATGTGACACCCACTGATACACATTCTCTCCACAAAGTAGGGCGGACTTGCAACAAATCTTGGATATGTGAAACACAATCGTCCTGGGTTGTCTAAACTGATTTTGCCAATATTTACGAAAAAAGGACTGTCAAAAATTCTCTCCCTTCTACCATTTCTACCCGAATCAATCTCACCGAGCCACGAGTTAGTGATTTTATTTGATGATGTGTAAATTTCAATTGATGTTGATTTCTGAGCTCCAACAACTGGGTTTAAAAATATCTGATGAATTGAAATCTTGCAAGGAAATTTGTATGTGATGTTGACAGGGGGTTTGATGAAGTTCTCTGCCAGGAAACCTCTTCGCTGGAGGGAAGAGTCTCGTGATGTCAGATTGTCAACCTCGTATCCATCAGACGAGGGCTTGTCACATGACACTGATGGCTGAAGGCTCCAGTGACCAAAATCTACCAACATGTTTATTTTTTCTAGGCCTGCTCCAGAAGCACATCGATTTCATCTTGTACTCTTCCATGTGGTCTTGCATGTGTTGTTGACTGCATGGCTCCTGAAAGAATAATAACAATGTTAATAATATTACCCCCAATCTCCCGTTTGCCCATCGTCCATTACCAATCAGTGATAATTCCTGGCTTCCAGTTGCCAATTGCTATCAACTTCCAGTGCTTATCAACTGTTCGGTGTCGACTACCATTTGTCCATTGCTCATCACCTATCAGCGCCAATTATCTGTTGGCTTCCCTTGTTAAGTTTCCAGCTTTGTTATCTTATCAAATATGTTCTCTGCCTCAAAGCATTTATTCACCTAATGGAGGAGTAAGCATATACTCCGAAACGTTGTGTTCCTCATAATAAAGAAGTTGACATCGTTAAATTCTCTTCCTGATGTTAAAAATAAAATATCCTCCTGGGAAAGTTTATCACTTGTGAAAAGATGGGCTTCTGATTTCAAAACAAATTCATGTGCTTACAGAAGTAGATGTATTACAATAACCTATTGTCATTTACAACTCATTGAACTATATATACGTAGCCACATGTGAAATGTTAATGAACAATTCCATCTGTCTATCTCTCTCATGTGTGGGATATTTTTCACTTTTCCATCTTAGCCCTTTGGGGCACTTGATCAAATAGAATGTACCACAACTTGAATGCATGACTCCCAATGTAACTATTGTTACAATGAAATAAAGACAGAATGCTTTACTTGTTATTGATGTTAAAAGTAAGACTATAAGAGAAATGCCTTTTAACCATGGTAACAGCATAGGTCAATCAAAAAGACAAAGGCAAGAGTTCCTTTCATTTACTTCACCCATATATTCACAGGGTATATTTCCGAGTGATCTCTTTGAATGTTTATGTGTACTGCTGTACGAAGCTTCATTTATGTAACCTTGGATCTAGATCTATATATAATAGAAAGTAATATCTAATTTTCCTTTAAATTTTTTTAATATAGGCCTGAAGCAAAATGTCTTGTCTACATTTAGCTTCCTTGTAAAGTTATTGTAATTAGAGGATTGTCTCTTTTCAGACAGCTTGTTGATTTAGTATTTTGTCTTCTGTCACCAACAGCTTTGACATGTTCGAAGACATGGTACAGAAATTAACCCGTTGGGACACCAGTTAAAATAGTCCTAAATGTAAGTGGTGGTCAGTCTCTGTGAGTTGGTCAATTGCACATCATTGGACAGCATCCCTCCATACCATGAAATGTTTGATGGCCCACGCATTATCAGGCCCTTATCTTATCTACAGTCGGCTTACTTAAAACAACAAATAAATCGCACAATCAACAATGATCAATACAGGAATTCGAACACACATTAACACAACTAAGATTACTTGACGTCCATGATGACGATATGAAATAGCCTTAGAAACTATTAAAAATTAGTCTTTACTATATCGCAACCGTATAATGATCAAATACACACATAATAACGTTACGAACGAGTCCCCTGTTGTGATAAACACGATCTCGTTTTTGTCATCAGTGCCCTTATCGGTGATCGAAATCCGAACGATCCCATCAACTATTCAATTAAACAGTTGTTTTCCTCAATACAATTCATATATTTCTGTAGAATCAAGATCGCGACATTCATCTACAATACATTTGGGCCCCTACATTTGTTGTGGGTATACATGAACGAGCACAAACTAACATACATAAGAACTAATATAACCACTGCCGTGTGGAAGGCCGTCAAATTAGGAGTCATCAAGGGGACAAAACTCTTTGTATACTATTTACTACAAAACCAGTTGCAAGTTAAAATGTTGGACGTCTGTCGATCTTTAAATTCTACTCATTCTCTTGCAAAAAGGTTTCTATGATATAACAATGTTATTGTCATATTTGATGTAATTCTGTTTACCATAGGTTATCTTTCACCGTGAATATGTCAAGCTTGATAGAGGTTATTAAAACAAAATTATGCATACGGGGTGTTTCCATGTGGACTAAACTGTCCTTCATTCCGCTGAACTTCCATTCTTGATTATCCTGTGTTTTTTTTTGGTCAATATTCGTGTCAATTTTGATATACTTATTATTACACTGGATAATTGAGGATGCTGACCTCAGCTCAGAACTAACAGATTAAAGCAGTGATTAAACACAAGACTCCCAAAGACCATACACACGCCTATATACCTAAGAGTAATTTAAAGATCACTAAAATATCATCACTATTTCGACAATAACATAATTATCATTAACATTTTTCTGTCTCAAACTGAACCTGCCATTTTATTTTGGCCAGATATGTTAAATCTCCAATACCATGTTATTAGACTTGCACAAGTCTCTAAGGCACAATCTATTAGTTTAAATAATTACTAGATTATATAAGTAATAAGAACAAGTTGTCACTGTAAGAGACTGGCGTTCAGTCCTGTACCTGGCAATCCCGGTGATTCGTGATGCTATCTGTCCGTCTGAGTAAATTCACATTTAAACTGAAACATCTGCAATGCAATCTGTATATTTTTGCATTTAATACATTGGTGGTATTCACAGTGTATTTAAATAATGAGATCATTTCTTGTTTCTTTCATGCTTATGTTGACATGTTATGACGTGTGCATAATGATAGAAGTTATTCCTATTGAAAATTATGTTTTGGGTGTAATGGAATTTTCTGAAATTATATTATGATATTTTATTGTCAAGAAGATATCACGTAAATTTGGCTGGCGTTAATAATCGACAGACGCCTTGTATTATGAATAGTAGTTGTTACAAAATAGTATCGTAAGGAGGCTGGGCTTAAGCTCCTAACAGCGTCTTGTTTCCCTATAGAATCAGCTAGAAGAGTCGTCTAACGTAGCTTGCACTGTTATGGAGTATTGAAATAAATAATCTTTGAAGTTGGCGGGTATGCGACTTTCTTTCATTGAAGAATACTGTGACAGTATCTGTACAAAGTAAGTGATATTGTTATATAATTAATTTTCCTATGGTCTATTCAATAACTACTTTAGTGTTGTGTGAGTTGACATTGTAATGCATACATGTTTCTTATTTGATAAAATAACATGGTTTTCACTTCTTCCAGAAGGCTGAGGCCTTAGAGGGTGCTATTTATAGATCTAACATATTTATTGCAATCTTATGAAATAATAGAATCTAGAAATATGCATTCATAAATAAGATAAATAGATCTACTCACATTTGTGAGAATGTCAATGTCATATGTAAACTGACACATACAAAATTCAGGTGATGACAATCTTCAACTGTTTAGAGAACAATTAAGCTATAGTCTGTTATACTACCCTGAATCAAATATTGTACAATATACAACAACCACGAGACGTTTACTTTTTAAATGAGATATCAACATTATGTTAGTTGCTTTGAGGACGATGATGATGAAATGTAGCCTACAAGCTTTAAAAATATTTACCCGTATTTCAATAATGATGACTCCCTCAATAGAATCCGACCTCAGCAATGTCGGGTAGATGCACAAGTGAGTATTTCCCGCATATTCTCACAATCCTCACGTCGATGAACTTTTCTCCCAATGACGTTTGTCGTATCTCTCCCGTTTTTGGATTCGATCGTTAGGCCGTCGCGTTTATATGAGTAAAATGCCCAGCTACATCTATAGGGACTCACTCGATACTCCCTTCTAAAAAAAAAATGTTGTCCAAAATGCAATGTCACCACCCCTCGTTCTGCATTATTCTCTTGGATTTATTGCACAGCTATCTTATATATATAAATGTATACTGAAGCGTATTGCTCATGTTTATTTTTGTGGATTTAAAAGGCTCTGAGTAAAAACACCCTCTGAAAACTTTGAGTCCTTTCTGCCACACTGTGATGAAATAGAATCAAAATCCACAAAATGTTGTGACATACCGTAACAATTTTCCAAGTTACTACAACAGCCAATCAAAGATGGTAATCCCAAATGCGCTAAAACAGCTAAAGTTTTACCTTCAATCTCCGTTCCCACTTGGATAATAGGCCATTCAACGTGTAACAAGCCGCAGAAGCATGCAGGTATTTTGAAGACACTTCTTGATATAATGAAGATAGTATTTGGGCTATGACTGTGGAATATCTGTATTTTATGAAACCAAATGCAAGTCTTACCAATTCTATTCCAAAGCATCAGGGAAAATAATTTTAGGAGAGAATGGCATTTTGTAATACATTTCATATGTTAGTCTATGGGATAGCTTATAGTTGGAAAAGCAGTGTTCAGCACTCAGAAAACCAGGGTTCAATTCCCCACATGGGTACAATCTTCGAAGCTCAAAACTCCTGTCTCTCATTCATATTACTGGAATATTGTTAAAAAAAGGCATAAAACATTTTACTCATGATAGGAAATGAAAGGTGTTAATTCTGACACTTGTGACCCAGTCTCCTAAGGCACTGCATTTTCTCGAAAAGAGTTGCATCCCTTAGGAAAGCCAGGATCCTATGATTGTGAGTTTTATTCCCAGAATGGCCCTGATTATGATTCTTAATATCTTAACACCACAGCAGTACCCATGGGTTTCACCAAAGTGGTTAGGGGCGGTGGGGTAGCCTGGTGGTTAAAGCGTTCGCTCGTCACGCCGAAGACCCGGGTTCGATTCCCGACATGGGTACAATGTGTGTAGCCCATTTCTGGTGTCCCCTGCCGTGATATTGCTGGAATATTGCTAAAATCCTCGTAAAACCATATTCACTCACTCACTCACTCACCAAAGTGGTTGATACCTCAAAGAACTGCATCACTTTGGCCTTTACTCTCACATTAAGCTCACATGCTGTGATGTAAACCCACCCACTCACCATAACCTGCGATAAGCTTTGGGACAGTCTAGATATCAGATATCTAGGCAAGGAACCAATGCTCAGAACGGGAGAACCATTTGACCTGTCCCACAAAGTGATCTTAGTGCTAGGTTGATCGTAAGCCTATGATAAAGTATGAGAGTTACAACCAACTTAGTACTGGGATCGCTGAAGAATGGGACCTGTTCCACAAAGTGATCTTAATGCTATGACGATTGTAAGCCTGTGTTAAAGTATGAGAGTTATGACCAACTTAGCACTAAGATTGCTTTGAAGAATGGGTCCCAGGGCCCACTTGCACAAAGCGATCTTAGCGCTAAGATGATCGTAACTTCCATACTTTAGCATAGGCTTACACAAGTCTTAGCGCTAAGATCGCTTTGTGCAAGTGGGTCAAGGGCCTGTTCCACAAAGTGATCTTAATGCTATAACGATTGTAAGCCTGTGTTAAAGTATGAGAGTTACAACCAACATAGTACTGGGATCGCTGAAGAATGGGACCCAGGGCCTGTTCCACAAAGTGATCTTAATGCTATGACGATTGTAAGCCTGTGTTAAAGTATGAGAGTTATGACCAACTTAGCAATAAGATTGCTTTGAAGAATGGGACCCAGGGCCTGTTCCACAAAGTGATCTTAATGCTATGACGATTGTAAGCCTGTGTTAAAGTATGAGAGTTATGACCAACTTAGCACTAAGATTGCTTTGAAGAATGGGACCCAGGGCCCACTTGCACAAAGCGATCTTAGCGCTAAGATGATCGTAACTTCCATACTTTAGCATAGGCTTACACAAGTCTTAGCGCTAAGATCGCTTTGTCCAAGTGGGTCATGGGCCTGTTCCACAAAGTGATCTTAATGCTATAACGATTGTAAGCCTGTGTTAAAGTATGAGAGTTACAACCAACTTGGTACTGGGATCGCTGAAGAATGGGACCCAGGGCCTGTTCCACAAAGTGATCTTAATGCTATGATGATTGTAAGCCTGTGTTAAAGTATGAGAGTTATGACCAACTTAGCACTAAGATTGCTTTGAAGAATGGGACCCAGGGCCCACTTGCACAAAGCGATCTTAACGCTAAGATGATCGTAACTCCCATACTTTAGCATAGGCTTACAATAGTCTTAGCGCTAAGATCGCTTTGTGCAAGTGGGTCCTGGGCCTGTTCCACAAAGTGATCTTAATGCTATAACGATTGTAAGCCTGTGTTAAAGTATGAGAGTTACAACCAACTTAGTACTGGGATCACTGACCCAGGGCCTGTTCCACAAAGTGATCTTAATGCTATGACGATTGTAAGCCAGTGTTAAAGTATGAGAGTTATGACCAACTTCAGGTATGGGCTAAAGTTACAATCAACTAAGCACTGAGATACTCTCTGGAACGTGGGCCCAGGAACTCAACTGCCTGAAGAAGCAATGGGGACAATTCTTTCGGCTGCTTTCCTGAACAGTTAGACTAACATCTGGCCTACCTTACCTAATTTCAAGAAGTGCGTAATCTAGACCACAGTCTTTTTTGTCTCGAGCTGTGTTCTGTAATCAGACCATGAAGGCCCAAGGAACTGGTTCCAGCTCCCAAATGCTGTTTTTGCCTTCAGTGCGATCATTTCTTAAGACATCTGGAACAAGATTGAAATCTCAGCTGCTGCAGCATCTTGAACCTGAAGACATTTCCAAAAACAATTTCATTTTGTTAAAGGAAAAAGTATAAAGGAGTTCACTATGCATCTTCCCGTTGCAAGGGAGTTAACTGACTATAAAAGTCCAGTTTCCATCCCTGGCCGAACTAGTCTGGAATAACATGGCTTGATCGTAGCACCACCAGTGACTATTACGAGTTACATCCCTTCTATGTCCCTCCTACTGACCAATCAGATTTCACCTCTCATATCAAACAAAATGGCGGTGCCCAGTCAAAACGAT